TTGGTTAAGTGTCTGCCTTCGGCTCAGGTCATGATCACAGGTTCTTGGGATCCAGCTCCGCATCGGGTTCCCTGCTCGGGGGGGATGCCTGCTTCTCCCTCTCCCCCTCCCCCTGCTTGTGTTGATTCTCTTGCTTTGTCTCTCTCTCTGTCAAATAAGTAAATAATATCTTTAAAAAAAAAGAAGGCGGGCGCCTGGGTGGCTCAGTTGGTTAAGCGACTGCCTTCGGCTCAGGTCGTGATCCTGGAGTCCTGGGATCGAGTCCCGCATCGTGATCCTGGAGTCCTGGGATCGAGTCCCGCATCGGGCTCCCCGCTCAGCGGGGAGCCTGCCTCTCCCCCTGACCCTCTTCCTTCTTGTGCTCTGTATCCCTCATTCTCTCTCTCTCTCTCTCTCAAATAAAAATAAATAAAATCTTAAAAAAAAAAAAAAGAAGGCAATACTACATCGCCAGTACTATTAAGAGTACTTTGTAGGAAGCACCTTGGTAACAAATAATACACACCATACTGTGTGCGTACTGACTGGTGTGGTTTTGAGAAGGCCAGATTTGAAAGACGATGAGCCTTTTCAAAGAGCAGGCTCTTCGAAGGACTTACCGTCTCAGTACGGCCAGTATTAGAAGCCCTCTGATGTTATATCCTCACCCGCATTTCATAGATAAGGAAACAGAAGCATGGACAAGTTGCAGCCCACACTTCAAGCCACACTGCTGCTCTGTGGTGAAATGAGCCAACTCCTCCTTCCTAACGTCACACTTTGTGTCTGACGCTGAAATACCTTTAATGCTGTCAAATTGCAAAAAAATTAAATACATTTATACAAACATTCTCATATTCTGGGTATCTCTTTCTTTACTAATTAATCTTTTATCAATATGAGAAACAGGTCATATAATTCAAGGGAAAATATTAAAAAATGTATTTTAGTTAGGCCTGCATAAAAGTGGCAATGTCAAAATAGGAAAAGATTGAAATTGCACAAAAGCAATGTATAAATTAAAAACATTATTTGGAAAAAAATTATTTGAAAGAGAGCAAGTGAGCACATGAGCAGGAGGAGCAGAGAGAAAGGGAGAGAGAAACTTAAGCTGATTCCACACTGAGCGCAGAGCCCAACACAGGGCTTGATCTCAAGACCCTGAAATCACAACCTGCGCCAAAACCAAGGGTCAGATGCTTATCCAACTGCACCACCCAGGCACCCCTAAAAGTAATGTGTAAATTCTGAGTGTTTGGCATCAGTTAACAGTTAAAAGCAATGATAGTATATAAATACTAGGGGAGGGGCGTCTGGGTGGCTCAGTTGGTTAGGTGTCTGCCTTCGGCTCAGGTCATGATCCCAGGGTCCTGGGATCGAGCCCCGCATCGGGCTCCCAGTAGGGACCCTCCTTCTCCCTCTCCTTCTGCACCCTCTCCACCTCCCTGCTGGTGCTCTCTCGCTATCTCTCTCAAATAGATAACATCTATAAAAAAAATACTAGGGGCATGTTCAAATAAGAGGAAACAATTTAAAATTTATGAGGCCTTTTGTTAAAAGAGAAATCAGATCTCATCTTGATATTAAACTTGTGACGATCTATGCATCAGTGTATCAATTATCTGAGTTGTGGCTACATGATTTGATTTCCTGAGTCTAATAAAAACAATTTTGGGGCGCCTGGGTGGCTCAGCCGTTTAGCGTCTGCCTTTGGCTCAGGTCATGATCCTAGGGTCCTGGGATCGAGCCCAGCATCGGGCTGCTTCTCCCTCTCCCACTCCCCCTGCTTGTGTTCCTGCTCTTGTGCCTCTGTCAAAAAATAAAAATCTTTAAAAAAACAAACAAAAAAGTTTTGACTATCGAAGAGACCACCTCATGGCTGCTTTGTGTGCAAGGAAGAGGTATGAAAAGTAATAAACACCGGGGAAAAAGGAAAAGTCTACTGTCCCTTTTCTGTGTCAGTATCCTTCAAAGACTTTCTTTCTCAAGGCTGTGATTTATTTGACCTGTTCACCTTCAGATGGATGCCACTTTCATGTTTTATATTTGATGACCCATGTGTTGATTTGACTTTTTTAAATCAGAAAACATGTAACTTATAAATTGTTAACTTTAGAATTTTTTGTTACTTTCCAGAAAATATCTCCTTCCCCAGAACCAAATATTAGCTTTGGATTTAGGTGAGCCTTTACTATCCTCATTTCTTCCTCCCATTGTAATTGTTATCAATGGGTTACCCTTCCTAAATTGTACTGATGTATGAAATCCTCTGCCGGGGCTCCTGGGTGGCTCAGTCGTTAAGCGTCTGCCTTCGGCTAAGGTTATGATCCCAGGGTCCTGGAATCGAGCCCCACATCAGGCTCCCTGCTCCGCGGGAAGCCTGTTTCTCCCTCTCCCACTCCCCCTGCTTGTGTTCCCTCTCTCGCTGTGTCTCTTTCTGTCAAGTAAATAAATAAACTTTAAAAAATAAAATAAAAAACTAAAATCCTCTGCTGATGTTATAAAGCAACTGGCATAAGAAGTCAACTAAAATAAAAGCATGGCTGATAGAAGAGACACAAAAAAATGCACAATAGTTACTCAAAAATTTCTTTTACACAATTGCTATTTTAAAAAGTTTTAAAATTATAAATACATGTTTAAAAAATTCAAATATACAGAATGAACAGCTGCACAGTTGAATATGGAAGCCACTAGCTGCACGTCCATTGCTCCATTACCACCACAGGGCTAGGGGTTGGCACACCCTGAGTGCACGCACACACAGCGTCCGCACAGAAGGCCCGTCGGACAGTTCACTGGTTATTGCTCTACAGTAACCATAATTAAGCACTAGTATATAAATGGCTGATTATTATAAAAGTTCTGTATACATTCTGGATACAAGTACCTTATCAGACATAATTTTCAAAAACTCTCCCATTCTGTGGGTTGTCTTTTCACTTTCTTGACGGTGTTCTTTAAAACATGAAAGTTCATTCTGAGCAAGTCCAATTTATTTTCTTTGTTGCTTGTGCATTTGGTGTTGTATGTAAGAAACCATTACTTGGTCCAAGGTCACAAAGACTTGCTTGTATGTTCTTTTGTCAGTTTTACAGCTGTAGCTCTTACATTTAGGTAGGTGATTCATCTTGGGCTGAAATCTGTGAGGAGGGGAATCCTTTAGCATGTGGCTTTACAGTTGTCCTAGGACTATTTGTTGAAAAGATTACTCTTATTGAATGCTTTGGCAGTCTTGTCAAATATCAATTGATCATAAACATTATAGGCTTATTTCTGGATTCTCGGTTATATTTTATATTCCCTTAATCCATGTTTCTTTATGCTAGTATCACTATCTTGGTTACTGTAGCTTTGTAGTTAAGTTTTGCAATTGGTTAAGTGTGAGTCTTCCAACTTTGTTCTTTTTCAAGATTATTTTGGCTTTTGTATTTTCCATGTGAATTTTATCAGTTTGTATTTCTGTATGAATTTTATCAGTTGGTCAATTTTTGCAAACAAGCCAGCTGGGATTTTGACAGGAACTGCAGTAACCCTGTGGAGCAATTTGGGGAGCATGTTCATTTTAACAATGTAAAGTCTTCCAATCCATGAACAAAAATGTATTTGTTTATTTAGGTCTTAATTTCTTTCAACAATGTTGCATAGTTTTTATTCATCTTGATGCTATTGTAAATAGAATTTTTAAAAATCTCAATTTCAGAACATTCACTGCTGACAGAAATAAAGCTGATCTTTGTATACTGATCTTGTATCTATCCTGTAGCCTGGTGAACTCATTTAGTTTTTAAATGAATTTCTTAGAATTTTCTATCTACTAAGATTATGCCATCTGTGAATACATAGTTTTACTTCTTTTCCAGTATGGTTGACTTTTCTTTCTTTTCCTTGCCTAATTGCCCTGGCTAGAAACTCAAGTACAATGTTGAATAAAAGGGGTGAGAGTGAACATCCTTGTCTTGTTCCTGATTTTGGGGACAAGGACATTCAGCAGTCTGTTGCCAATAATGATGTTGAGTGTGGACTTTTTGTAGATGCTCTTTATCATATTGAGGAATTTCCATTTTATTCCTAGTTTGTTAGGTATTTTTATCATGAAAGGGTGCCGAATTTTATCAAATGTTCTTTCTGCAACTGTTAAGACAATTAAATTGTCCTAAATTTTGTCCTTTATGAACATGGGACAATTGATTCTTATTTATGAGTCTGTATTTATGAATTTACCAATTTATTTGTAAAATTTGTTTGTAGTCCCCAAATCAAAACTGTCACCATGGGGATGCCTGGGTGGGTCTTGTTAAGTGCTTGCCTTCGGCTCAGGTCATGATCCCAGGGTCCTGGGATGGAGCCCCGCATCGGGCTCCCTGCTCCGGAGGAAGCCTGCTTCTCCCTCTCCCACTCCCCCTGCTTGTGTTCCCTCTCTCGCTGTGTCTGTCAAATAAATAAAATCTTAAAAAAAAAAAACCCCAAAACTGTCACCACTTTTATGATCATTCATAGATATGTGCAGACCCACGAAAATTTTGAGTTTCCCCATATGCATCTTCCCAGTGGGGGTGAACAAGACAATGCTTCTGCCTTCCTGTTTCAGCCCCCACCCCCAGACATGACCAGAAGATGGGGGGGCGGAGGCAGGGCTGTGTAAGCTTTGGCTCTGGGAGCAGTCGGACGGGTATGAATCCCAATTCTGGTAGTAATTAGTGGGGTGGCGTGGCCTCAGAAAGGTCACTTAATGTTTCTGAACCTCATTTTCTCTTTTGTAAAATAAAACAGTATACCAGGATAAATTTTCAGGATTTAAGATTATAATCTATTTGAGATATGAATACACACACATTTCCCCTAGGAGCAATGGCTCTGCATTCACTAGTTCAGTATTCATAGTGACTTCCTAGACTATAACTACTGTGAATAATGAGAATCGTTTGCAGATGACATTGATTTTTGGATGTTAAACAAACCTTGCATTCCTGGGACAAATCTTACTTGGTCATGGTATATAATCCTTTTTTTGCTAGTTGCTAGACTCAGTTTGCTAGTATTTTGTTGATGGCTTTTGAGTCTCTTCATAACAGATACTGATCTTTTTTTTCTTGTGATGTCTTCACCTGGTTTTGTATCAGGGTAATACTGGCTTCATAAAATGAGTTGGGAAGTGTTCTCTCTCCTTCCATTTTTGAGGAGAGTTTGCAAAGGACTGGTGCTAATTCTTTAAATGTTTGGTAGAATAGAGCAGTGAAGCCATTTGGGCCTGGTATTTCCTTTGCAGAACGTTTTAAAATTACTAATTCAATATTTTTGTTATTGGCAGTTGCCTTTTTAACTTGCTTTAGGTAGGACAAAAGGTGGTAAGATTATCTCTTAAGGCCAGTAAAATTCATTAAGAAAATGTTATCAAGGAAGACATATCCAGTGTTTGTAAGATTCAATCACCAGCTGCCAAGATCATCCAGTAGCAGAGTTATCCTGCTGTCTTGCTCTAACAGAGACAAATATTTCATCACCTCTCCATGTGCCTTCATGACCTTAGGAACAAGAAACTTCAGCCTGTTCTACATAAGATGTATATACAAACATCTTAACTGACACTCACAGTAAAGTCCTATAATCACAAATTAAAGTTTGTACATTTCTAGATTATATACAGACATGCATATTTACATATTATCTTTAAATCTATCTACAAACATAATACCTATCTCAGAACCTGTCGGGATGGCAGTGTGTAGTGGAATAAACACTGGAACAGAAATCTGGAGGTCTCAGTTCTGGGGCCAGCTCTAACGTAAACAAGATGCCTCAATCTGTTTCTCCCACTGATGAAACTAGGTTAAGCCTGATGATCACCAAGGTTTTTTTTCCTGATTCTAAAAATACAAGTGACTTACTTACAATGCCATTCCCATTGTACTTACTTCAGGGTGCTCAAAATGAAAATATTTTTGCTATAAACATATACATATCCATCCTTCATTCTTACAGAACAAATCAACCAATTCACCAACTCTTAGAACAAGGAGGAAGTCTGTGGGTAATATAATTCCAACACCTCAAGGTCCTGGGTTTGCCAGGAAATACCATTACTAAACTTCTCTCTGTACAAATACGTGTATTTGCTTTTTCATAATGCCTCTCTTCATGTCAGTACTGTTGCATACGAGGCTTCTAGAAATTACAATAACTTCCAAAAACAAGGTCACTTTTCAGAAATCCGGAGCCCCTCAGAGAGACTGAATGGCATGTCATCAGTTGTCTCCACCGGCACGTTGCTCCTACCAAACTGGCATGGATAATGGTGGGTGTGGTGACTTGAAATAAATGCATCTGCCATCCGGCTGCAGTGACAGCCATCTGACGGCAAGACGTTACTGGAGTTACCAAGATGCGAATGGTAAACACCATGGAATGAGTCTTGAGTTGAGTGGTAATGGCCGGCTCCCGCTGAGGTGGATGCCGAGCTCTGGTAAGGGCCATTACACATAATACAAGTTTGGAAGCAAGTCTTCCTGCCCAAACCTCGGTGAATGTCCAGTTTGGCAATGAGGGGTTTCCCAACATTCACCTCCTGCTTCTCCTCTACGGTATCTTCCAATCCTGAGTACTGATATGACAGGCAGACTGTGAAGATCAGATGTTCCTGAAAAGGAAAAGAATTATTTTTATCAACTGTGAAAGCATATCAATCTTAGAGTAATACTGACAAATACAAATACACACGTGATCACAAAACAACACACACTCTCACTCCCCTTTCCCAGGTTCCAAATCCTCAAGGCTCGTTTACACCTTCCCCACACGAAGAAAGGCCAGCTATAATCACCTTCCCTTTCCCTCATCCAGTACTTAAAGTTCCTGCTACTGACAGTAGCCAGAATCACAGAGATCTTGTACTGTATTCCAGATGAACAGTTTAAAGGCATTTTCCAAGTAGTGGGGTTTGGGAAAATTACCCTTCCCTATTAGTGGAGATGGAGAATGATCCTTTAATGAAAAAACCTGGCTTTACACCTAGGCCAAAAGTTTAGCTGTTTTATTTATTTTTTATTTTTTTATTTTATTTTATTTTAAAAGATTTTATTTATTTATTTGACAGAGGGAGACACAGCCAGAGAAGGAACACAAGCAGAAGGAGTGGGAGAGGGAGAAGCAGACTCCCGCTGAGCAGGGAGCCCGATGTGGGGCTCGATCCCAGGACCCTGGGACTATGACCTGAGCCGAAGGCAGACGCTTAACGACTGAGCCACCCAGGTGCCCCAAAGTTTAGCTGTTTTAAAAAACATGAAATAATAATCCACAGTCCTAGGTGGAGAAGTATAACTGAATCACATCACAGGGTTATTTCAAAGACAAAGGAGTAACAGCTAAGATTAGCTGTAAACAGGGTGACAATAGTCTGTTTTTTGTTCCTTAACTAGGAAATGATTATTTGAAGGTGCGAAGGTATTTAAAAGCAGACTATGCTCCTTATCTCTAACTTTTCAACAATATGGAGAGTAATCACATGTACTCTCACAGAAAAATCCTCAGGCCATCACCAGGGACAGAAGAGAGTATGACAAGGGTCACTGATAAGACTGTGTATCACTTATCTCTACTTCAATTTAATAACCAATGAAGCAGTTCATCTATAAACTAATACAACTGTCACATGCCAAAATGCATTTTCACTTTCATAAAGTCAGTAGTTAATAAACAGGAAAAGCATTAACCTTTAATTTTTGCAGTGAACTGAGCCTGGTGTAGAGGCAATGCTTGGGAAGATCCTTAGATACTAAATAGCTGCCAGTTTCTTCAGGCGTCCCTTTATTTGCATCTTTTGGATCAATATCTAAGTCCTGTGAAAATCAGTGGATGTTATTAATGTAATCAATTAAAGTCACAACATTGTCTATGATAGTAAAATATCTTAACAGGTATTGTCCTCTTATGAATTTTGGCCTCAATAGGTAAGCCCTTAGACAGGACTAAAGAAATAATAAAAACAACATTTTAGAGTGTAACAGGAATTCCAAATTCTGCACAGATACACTTAAAAAGTTAGCTCTGCAAGGTTAGTTACTTTCAAACTACCCCCACAAACACTTCTTAATCCTCTCAAGCTACCTTTTAAGTTCCAGCCCCATTAGACTGTGACCCCTGGATTCTCTCCCTGCTCACTCATTACTTTTGGGAAGGTGCAGGCGGATTTATATGATTCATATATTTAAAAAGAATAAATGGACATGTACAGGCAGTCCTTCCCTTTTCCTTCTCTAAGAGCCAACCCCTGGGTAAGAGCGGGAGATGTGTTCTGAAAGTCTGAGAGAAGGCCTCAAGCTCTACCCTGCCCAATGCCCAGGAGGCCCCTCTGAGTCCAGCGCTGTTATGGCTGGTAGACAGACCTGTCTAATTCTGGGGTTCAGTGCTGGACCATCTGCTCTCATACTAAACAATGTCTTCCATGAAGTCTTTATCAGTAGCAAAGGTGATGTTCTGGATTTGTCTCACTCCTTGCTTACTTCTCAATTTACTACACTCAATGTAGGAAAGAGGGGTATATTTATTGGCTTCTTTAGGCCAACATGAAATAAATATCATATCTTAATTTACGGAAAAACAGAACTAAATTTCTATGCTTCCAATATACTACCATGTTACTGCTTAATATTCGATATCCTACTTAGGGTAAAGGAAATTAAAGGCTTCTTTCCTGGGTGAACTTTAGACATTCCTAAATTTGATAAATTTAAGGTATTTTAGGGATTAGTTTTTAAATATTTTGACCATTGTTACTAAAATACAAATATTTATATAAATGGAAGATAGAGGTATTCATATTTCCTTTAAATTTACCATCAACTTTAAGTTTCCAAATGTTTAGTCTTTAGTAAGTGAGGCTACACTGTGCTATTTTGGATAAAAGAAGAAAGGGGCTTCTTACAAGAGGAAAATCAGTGACGTAGGCGTCGCACGTCAGCACGTCGGGTGGCTTGTGGACTATGCTCGTGTAGATTACCATGACGTTGGAGAACTCGGCAGCAAACCCCAGCTGAATCTGAACACCGCACTGGAATTTAAGACACATACTTTCTGGGAGTTCTGAAAAAGAACAAAAAGAACAACTTACAAATAATCCCTTGAGGAGCGCTTTGGTAAGTTTTCTGTTAAGCAACAGACAATTGTTCTTTATGGGGGAAAACAACAGTGAGAGCTTTTGCTTTCGCTTAAAAATGTTCTATAACTAACACATTGTTCAAAGGCACACACACACATACGCACGCACGCAGGCATGCATGCACTTAAAGAAAAAGTCCCATATTCTGCTGGTCAAGCAAATAAAAATCTTTCATTTACTATTTCCTTCCAGTTCTCGTCCCTCTGCATATGTAATTTTTACAGTGGTAATCAAAAGTACCCATATAATTGTAGATAAATTTTCACTGTTGCCTCAGTCTTCATGAAAATAGTTTTTAATAAAGCATAATGTCACTGAGTATTTGTTACTCTGAACAATTCCACTACTCTTGAATATCTGTAATATTTCTGGGTTTTATTATTTTTCTATTATAGTCAGTATTTCTTATACATATGTACTTAATGCTTAAAGATTATTAGATATAGCTGCTCGATGGTGCCTCACACATGTGACATTCTCCATTTACATAGAATATAGATTTCACCATAACATTTCCAAAATGAAGTAATATTAATTTTCAAAGTGTTTACCTAGTTGATGGGATTAAAAAGGAAAAACTACACTATCATAATTTTAATTTTATTTTCTCTAATTACTACTTAAGCTTACCATTTTCTATATTTATTTCTTAATATATTCTCAATTGTGCAGGCTGAATTTGCATCCTTTGATGATTAACTGAGGGAGTTTTTTTGTTTTTTTTTAAGATTTTATTTATTTATTTGACAGAGACAGTGAGAGAGGGAACACAAGCAGGGGGAGTGGGAGAGGGAGAAGCAGGCTTCCCGCTGAGCAAGGAGCCCGATGTGGGACTGGATCATGACCTGAGCTGAAGGCAGACACTTAACCATCTGAACCACCCAGGTACCCCTAACTGAGGGAGTCGTAATGTTTTTCCTTTTACCATTTTGCATGAGCTCTTTAACATAAAAAATGCCAAATCTGTTACCAAAAAAAAGTGCTCTCTTTCCAAACTACTCCACATCTCTAGAGCCTGTTTGCCTTTGGTAAGGTGACATTTACCCATATCTAAAAGATAAGAAATAAGTATTATCTTAAGACCACAATGTTTTCATTATGTTTTAAATATTTAGGCCACAAACTCTTCTGCAAATGCGGTTATGTTCTGAGTATCACTCATTCACTCACTCACTCACCAACTATTTTACTGAACACCTACTATGTGCCAGGCATGGTTCAAAGTAATGAGCAAACAGAAAAATATTGGACCAGCCCACGTCTAAAGTTTTTTTTTTTAATTTGAAGATCTAATTGGCTTTATTAGGCAATTCATGAATTGGGCAGCATCTCATCCACCAAGTAAAGAGATGCTCCCTTAGTTTCATTTCATAAAAGGTTTTTTTTACTATTGATCTTTACCACCATGATTTTGTTACACTTGTTGTTTAGAGATTTTTTAAAGGAAAAGAATCAATTTCAATTATTTATCCAATTATCTGGAAAGCCAAGACAATATATTTATGGCATTTTATATTTTAATGTGCTTAAACATATTTAACCAAAAATATATTTTAGAGAACAGACTATTATGAAAAGAAAGACATTATATAGAAGTTCACCAAATACAATTTTCAATTATCTACAATAAGGGATTTACAGATATTTGGGACTCACAGAAAATCCAAAATCTTCATTTCAGTCAATAATTTAAACTTACCTTTTCACCAAATCACATAGAATTACCAAAGGTAATTAAGTTATAGATATGATTTCCACCTCGCCTTCTCTTTTCTTGCTCACCGACTCACTTATTCAGGAGTTGAAAAGAGAGAATACTCAGTAATACTGATGAGCATATAGTATTTACTGACCAGCATGCTTGTCTCTTTACATGTGTGATCGCATTCAATACCAACAACCCTCCCAAGTATTATTTCTTGTCCACATTTATATATAACATGTTTATCAAGTGGTAGAGACAGGATCAGAACCCAGGCCTGTCTGATTTTTCAAATAGCATACTTCCAACAGCTCACAATATAATAAAATCTAAGGGAATGTATATTAGATAAGTTGTTTAGTTTTGGGTTTCCCCACCAGGCTAAAATGTTTTCACTACAAAATTGAGAGGAAAACTATTTATCCAGGAGGAAAAAAACTTCCTTCGTGATTTAATACAGCATGTTATAGAAAAACCCCATTAAGAACCAGGCTTCACCGTACCATGTGCTTTGGCCCACTGCAGATTCCGTACCAGAGACTCCGCAGAATACGCTGTTCCCTGAATTGGGTCAGTAAGCGCTCTCTTTTCAGACAAGCTACTCCGAATCTCTAGAGCCTGTTTGCCTTTGGTAAGGTGACATTTACCCATATCTAAAAAATAAGAAGTAAGTATTAAGACCACAATCTTTTCATGTTTTAAATACTTAGGTCAAGAACTCTCCTGCAAATCCAGTTATGTTCTCAGTATCACTCACTCACTCAACAACTATTTTACTAACACGTTCTATTATGTGCCAGGCAAGGTTCAAAGTAATGAACAAACAGAAAAATATTGGGCCAGGCCACTTCTAAAGACCCCTCTTTTAGCTTCTATCTTCTATAATTCTATTATCACATCCCTAATATTCTAAGCCTTAAAATTCACAAAGAACTGAAAGTATACTTATTTTTTTATTTTTATTTTTTATTAAAGATTTTATTTATTTATTCATGAGAGACAGAGAGAGAGAGAGAGAGGCAGAGGGAGAAGCAGGCTCCCAAGGAGCAGGGAGCCCGATGCGGGACTCGATCCCAGGACCCTGGGATCATGACCCGAGCCGAAGGCAGATGCTTAACCATCTGAGCCACCCAGGCGCCCTACTTTTTATTTTTTAAGATTTTCATTTATTTGAGAGAGAGAGAGAGAACAAGCGGGGGTGGGGAAGGGAGAGAGAAAGCAGCAGGAAGCCTGACATGGGGCTCGATCCCAGGACCCGGAGATCATGACCTGAGCCAAAGGCACTTAACCAACTGAGCCACCCCAGGCACCTCTGAAAGTATATTTCTTTACTGAAAGAGTAGCCATGATAATTTTATGTCTACACTCTGTTGAGAAATACATGTATCTAGTAAACAAATGACTACTTATCTATGAAAAAGGTAAGATTTCATGCCATCTTTACCTCAGATATTTTTATTTTAAGAAAGGAAATAATGTGTTATAAACATTGATATGGCTAAAGCACCACCACTCCTCTCCCCCAACTCAAAATAACCACTATCCAATGTAGTATATATATTCCCATGCATATTTTAATTTTCACTCAGGCACAGGCACTGGCAAGTAGTGTATGCTAATGTTTTAGGTTTTTTGTTTTTTTTTTTTTTAAGATTTTGTTTATTTGCGAGAGAGAGCAATAGAGAGCATGGGCTGGGGAGGAGAGGGAGAAGCAGGCTCCTCGCCGAGCAGGGAGCCTGATGCGGGGTTTGATTGCAGGACCCTGGAAACATGACCCGAGCTGAAGGTAGACGCTTAACTAACTGAGCCACCCAGGCGCCCCCTAATGTTTTAGGTTTTGAACTTAACAAAAATGTTACGCTACATGCATGCTCTGTAATGTGTTTTCATTCAACATGTTTTAGGCAAAGACTTGTGACTATTGATAAATGTCAATTTAAATTTACAAAGCCATATATATATCATATCTTTCATATGAACAAATTACAGTTTCTCTTACTTCTGTATATATTATTATTAATAAATAACGTTATAAAGTAATAATATCTGGTCTTTGGTATGTAGTTACTAATATCTGGAAAAAAAAGAGATAAAACTAAGATTCTTAAATAGAAGAATCTATTCTTAAATAGAAGCCAAATATAAAAACCAGATAAAAGCAGAACTTTTCCGGTTGAAGCAGGATGGTGGGGGGAGGTCAAAGCTCTGGCTGTCTAAGTTAAATGGGAAAGTGGTTAAGTCAGGTGATCCAGCTAAAAGATCTACACTGATAAAAACATGAAAATAAACAGTGACTCACAGCTCTTAGTGAAACACTCGCATACCTTATACTCCACCTGCCATCTTTGGAACACCCATGAAACTCCATTTCTCATGGGCTGGTTTGCAAAAGGACTGTCTTTTGGCATGGCTTTTAAAATGGCATTTCAAAAGATATCTGGCAGTCTATCGGGATAATAGGATATGTACTTTGTTTGGCACCTGACAGGAGCATAACATCATCCCGAGAAGGAAAGAGAACAGAAGGAAATGGAAGACATGATGTTAGCCCTCTAGGGTCATGTCCTGAAAGCAGAATTTAAAAACCATTAAGTCCATCAAGAAACAAATGAACCCAGCCTTTTCCGCCCGAGTCTCAAAATTTCTGCAAGGTTGGATCTGTCTGATCCTGGGAGAGGCTGCTCTCTGGACAAAGTTTTCTGCAAACAAGCTGACAGGGGTGCACCAGGCACGAGGCACAGAGCTGAGGATGAAGCTTTACTGATTTCAGCCTTGCCCGGGACCAGCCTTGCAGCTCGAGTCTTGCTGTACTGATGGCACAAAGCTCAGTCACCAGGGAGACAAGGAGGAAGGAATGAAACAGGAGTGCTGTGGAACGTTCTAGAAAAAACTGTTTTATAAAAATAAATACTAACTCCAAACCTGCACAGTAACAGTAGGAATAAAATAATTACCAGAGAACCCTGAGTAACTTTCTCTTTTTTATTTTACCTTCTGCAACTTCATCCAGTAACACAGTAATTTTCTTGTCTTCTAATAATCTATCTTTTAAAAATTTCATGAAAATTCCATTTGCCAACCCAGAATGCTGGATTTCAAAAGCTTCTGCTCCTTGACACCTTAAACACAGCAAAAAGACAAATTTTTAAAAAGTAAACACTTGCCACATGGAGCTTGTGTAAATACTGATGAGCCTCATCTGCTTCTCTGCCTCTTGCATGACACCCTCATTACAGAGCTGATCTTTAAGCAGGAACTAAATGCTCTGGGGCTTAGTAAAAAAAAATGCCAAGACATGAGGAGCTAAAGTCAATTATTTAACTCATTTATCATTTCAAGAATATCAAGGATGAAAATTTATGCCTACATTTCTATGGATATATCTAGGCTTCTAATCTATAATCAAAAAGAAGTCATCGAAAAATGAAGGTATCTCGAACAGGAATGTAAAACTTCCTTACGTGGCATATCCAAACACAATATTGGCGGTGACTTTTAGAGCATCCAAGATTGGGATGGTGTCATCATAGTCATTTCTATTTAAAAGGGAGGAGGAAGAAGGACAGATACAAATGTGAAAAAAGTTAAACAGCATTTTAAAGAGAGCTTAAGTAATAATACAATGGAAAATCTGGTAACACCATTCTATTATACATAATTTAAGATTATAGATTCAAAATTCCTTTATCAAATCAGGTACATATTTGCTCCAAATAATCTAGAGTTCCTCTGCTGTTGAGCCAGCAGACAGTCACACCATCTTTTCTCTGGTTAGCTTTAAAACTGGAGTTATATCTGAACTCTAGCACTGGTTTCTGATCGGTAAATGCTGAGCAAGCACAAAACTGTATTTCTGAGAGGAATAATCACTGGTTCTGTTTCTTAGTAACCCAGTGACAAACAGCTGGGATCCAAACCTTCAAACACCTGGTCTGGCTACAGTTTCTGTATCTGCGAGACCAGGACTTACAGAGGCCCCACCTCTATGGGTGCTGTTTCTGTCAATTCCTGGAGAAATAACTGCAGTGATGACTAGAGACATCTACCGGCATTCTGAAGAGTTGAACCTTCTGGAGTATGAATAAATACCCATACCCTTTAGTTCCTCACTTTTGTTCTATAACAAATAGGAAAAAGGTTAAAGTAATTAACTACATATAGAGAAAATCTATTTCCTTCTAGTTTCCTTGTTGGTCAGTTTCAATCTCACAATTTTACAAACTCACAAGCTTGAGTGCTTCTTAGCATTCCTAGGTTTGCCTTAGATTTCACTGTCAAGGCTGATATTTACCTAACTCCGATGAGCTTTGTTTAACAAAGATGAGGCAGTTTACCTTTTCCTACACATGTCCAACAAGAACACATTAAGTCCAGTTTCTTTTTCTTGCATCAATTTCAGTATATTTTGTACACATAGACAGTTTTCAGACCTATATGGATTTGGAGCATCAACAGGGACCATAAAGCTGTTGCCAAAGTTTTCATAACCATGCCCTGCATAATATAATAATCCTGGAAAGGAAAAAAAAGGAGGTAAAAATTAATTCTAAATTGTACTCTGAACGTGCGTGTAGCACTCTTTAGAAAAAAAAACCAGACTTTGTTTTCTTCAAATTAATGCAAGCTTATTTAAGAAATACCCAATTATAAAAACAATGTTAATTAAATTTGAAGACAAGTCTTCAAATACTGTATTTTTTTTTTTAAGATTTTATTTATTTATTTGACAAGGTAAGAGAGGGAACACAAGCAGGGGGAGTGGGAGAGGGAGAAGCAGGCTTCCCGCGGAGCAGGGAGCCCAATGCTGGGCTCGATCCCAGGACCCTGGGACCATGACCTGAGCCGAAGGCAGACGCTTAACGACTGAGCCACCCAGGTGCCCCCAAATACTGTATTTTAAACCAACACTGAGATGCTGTCCTAAACTGTATTTTAATTCATAAAAATAATACACTTGTAACATATGGTGTAACATGGAATGCAGTTTTATCTCATGATGTATAACGAAGAAAAAGGCTAAAGACTTCTTCATGTGTCTCCTCCATGAGACCAGGAGCTCCCCCAGGGTAGGGACGGTATTATCTTTATCTGTGTATTCCTGGCACACAGCAGGAGCTTAGTTAAGTTTTTAACGATGAACAAATAAACACAATTCAGATGAGTAGCAATGGCAATATCCACTATAAGAAATTCCACAGGCATTTCCACACAATGTTAGTAAGGGCTATAAAAATATAAATGTAGCTTTTTTTTTTTAATTTTTATTTATTTATTTTAGAGAGAGAGAGACACAGCAAGAGAGGGAACACAAGCAGGGAGAGTGGGAGAGGGAGAAGCAGGCTTCCCGCGGAGCAGGGAGCCCGATGCGGGGCTCGATCCCAGGACCCTGGTATCATGACCTGAGCCGAAGGCAGACGCTTAAAGACCGAGCCACCCAGGCGCCCCTAAATGTAGCTTTTTCTAAGCAGAGAAGAGAAATCTAATTTCATGGATTATTTTTTCTTTTTGTTATGAGATAGAAATATCATTAATTTTCCATCTAGAGTCTCTTGAATTAATAATCTAAAATTTGGGTTTTAGTATTCCATAAATGAGTCATTATTTCTTTACTGAGAAATGATACTATAAAAACTGCACCTAACAACTCTGAAGATTTTCTTGAAGTTTGTTTTGGCTGTATAAAAACTCCCCCAGAATATCAGTATCGGCTTCCTTATAAAAATATTTGATAGAAATACTTGTGAAGACATATTCCCCTGGGCATGCAATCTCTAGGGCCCACTAACATTGCTTTCTCAGAATTCTGGATATGACGACTTCTTTCTATGGTATTCTAACGTTGACAGTAAAAAGGCGTTAGGGAACAACAGAAAAGCTAATCCTTTGTATCCATAGTCCCTATTCCTAGCAAAGAATGGGGCTCTGAACACTAAAACGACGTGCTTCATTGTTGTTGGTCTTAGATTTTCGAGACATTTCATAGAATGGAATCATTCCATACATGTCCATTCATGGTCCTAGAGGGCGGTACCCCGGTCTACTTTTCTTGGAACTCCTACTAAAATGAGAAACATGGTTCTTTCATATGTAACATTTCAAGTAAAAAATGACAAAAAGGGTGCATTCATTTATTCAGTGTGGGTTTATTTTATCTCATCTGTGCCCTGAATGAAATCATGTAGGCATTGAAAGAAATGAAAAAGAAAAGAAAGACAAAGTTCCTGCCCCAAGGAGCTTGCAACTCATTCAGTCCTGCTCATGTTGTTAAAGAACAAAGAAAGTCAGCACATAATGAAATACCATAAATTATGTGATTAAGGAAACCCAGTCCGATAGGAATAGGGTGCAGAGAGGAATCAGTGTGAGGTGAAGCAGCAGTGGGTGGCCTTGAGAGCCTGGGTGCAATCTAGAAAGGCAGAGAAAGAGCAAGGTTCATGAGAGGCAGGGAGAGCAGAAACAAACAAGGTGAGGACCAAGAATGGCAGCTCATAGAAAGGAGACCAGCCGGGCAAGGAATCCAATTATCACTGTAAATGGAAGTGAGAGTGCACTGATAGGGAGCATTTTGAAAATCATGACACAGTGAGTAGATATAATACACTAAGCAATGGAGATCAAGTAAGTGAAAAGAAAACCTGAAGAATGAGGGAAAATATTTGCAAAGCATGAATCTAAAAGGATAACCCATGTCTAGAATACATAAAAAACTCTTCAATTTGACCATAAAAAGACAAATACCCATGTAAAAAATGGGCAAAGGACCTGAATAAACATTTCTCCAAAGAGGATATACAAATGCAAATAAGTGCATGAAAAGCAGACACCACTTTGCACTTACTAGGGTGGCTATAATAAAAACACAGGCAGTGACAAGTGTTGGCAAGGATGTAGAGAAAGTGGAAACCTCATTTACTTCCGGTGGGAAAATAGAATACTTCTGGTGGGACCATACAATATACAACAAAGTGCACGCACCTTGCAAAGAGTTGAGGCAGCTCCTCAAAAAGTTAAACTCAAAATTATCATATGACCCAGCAACAGCAAACGCAATCCAATCCAAGGTACATACACCCAAGAGAACTGAAAATGTGTGTCCACACAAGAATGTGTACACGAATGTTCATAGCAATGTTATTTATAACATCCACACAGTTTAAGCAACCTAAATGTCCATCTGATGAGTGGAAATGTGGTAGACCCATACAGCAGATGACTGATTATCCAGCCATAAAAATAATGCAACAACATGAATGAATCTTGAAAACACTATGCTAAGTGAAAAAAGCCAGACACAAAAGGACACGTATGGAATGATTCCATTCTATGAAATGTCTCGAAAAGGCGAATCCATAAAGCTACAAAGTGGATGTGTTGTTGCCAGGGCTTTGGGATAAGGAGGAATGAACAGTGACTGCTAATGGACATGGGGCTTCTTTTTGAGGTGAGGAAATGTTCTGGAATTGGGTGACTGAGGCACAACTCTGTGAATATACTAAAAGCTGCTGAATTGTACGCTTCAAAAGTGTGAAATGTATACTTTTGTCAAGTACAGGTACCCCTTGGTTTTTAAGTTTGCTTCAGACCACTTGGCTTTCACGGAAGACCTACATTAGTATCTACTTTTGCTAATCAAAAGAAACCTGAAGAGGATTTTTGCTTTGACGAAAAAAGGCAAAAGCAAAAACAGCACTGAGCGTGTGTTTGCAGCGAGCACGAGCCCCATAGGGGCAGCGTGAGCAGCACTTCAGGCTCCTTCCCTGGGAACCTCCCTGGGCACCTCAGCAGCATCCCCAGCTGTGAACGGTGTCTGTGAGCCTCTGGGCTTTGTCTCCATTTGTGTCGTGCATCTGTTAGCAAGATGTGTCCTTAGATATTAGAGAAGTCTGTTTGGGTCTGGGAATGCTCTAAAATTTTTCCATACAAATGCACTCTAAGTGCTTTTTCACCGTAGGCCACTTGGGCTTATGGAAGGTATCACAGGAGTGCTCTGCGTTCCCGTAGCGGGGGACCTGCATACAAAATGGGATGGTCTTCCCCATCGGTCTGTTCACCGCTTCTGAAAGCAAGCTCTGCTTATTTCTAACCTTCATGACCCTGCTCTGGTGACTCCATCTCCTTCCCATCCACCGAGATCATGACAAATCCTCAAGGGTCTTCTCAGGCTCAGAACACTTGGCAGGTTATCGTCCAGTTTCTAGCTTTCTGACACACCTCAGGCTTGCCCCGCTCTGAAGCCCTGCAGCACCACTCTGGGACACCCTACAGTTCTTTGTAGGTTTAATTTCTTGGATAAAAATCACAATAGACATTAATCTTACACACTGGTATAGCTTTTTCATGGTTTTGAAAGCACCTTCATATACATGAACTGATTTTAATCCATATAGCAACCTTTAAATGATTTATAACCTTATTTTATTCTTGAGGAAATTAAAAAGATCAAATGATTTGCTTAAAATCATATAGGTGATAGGTATTTGGACTCAAAAAAGCATTTTTTTTCTCATTATATTAAGGGACTTATAATTTTGAGACTATAAATCATGTTATTTTCTGTATCTCCTTCAATACCTACACACTCCTTTATCTGGGCTATGGATATAATAAGAAACTCAGCACATACTTTTTGAAAATGCATTAAATTAACAGTGCAAACCAATCACGACAGAAGTAGATCTGGAAAACATTCCCTAAAGGGTCTGACTTGCAGTAGAAATGGTAGCATTTCTACAACTGGTATTACTTAAGCCAGCCAGCCAGCCAGCTTGGGGATTGCCCCCACTGTATCACGTAACTCATCTGTCTCTATCAAGACTTGTAACCTGGGAGAAGCACCAACTTCAAAGGAAGGTTCGTCCTCCATCAACCACGGAGACCTAAGAGTGGTCTGTTATTTCAATGCCGTATGTCCTCCTCTGCAATCGCCAAAACTAAGGCACTTGGAACAAAATACCTCTTGTCCATCTGAACATGATTTATGAAAAGTGTAAGCATTTTGTATCAAAGTCTACATTACATTGTGGGAGGTTTTTTTTACGTAAAATAAACTAGACCAAAGCAAGGTATTTTAAGAACTGTATCTCTAGTACTCCTTATTAATCGATTATCCCATTACTCAAGGACAGAGGCACAAAATAGGTATCTTTTAAAAAAATGACAAAAATTTTTAACATGGTTAGAAATACAATCCTATCAATTAGACTCTTAGGGAATTTTATTTCTTGGGAACATGATTTCCAAGAATATAGTTTATTACAGATATGTATTCTTGTCTACAGAGAAAAGAATCGCTTCAGTGGAAGACTGTCCCACTGGAGCTGCGCTGCAGGGCATCTAGCACAGTGCTCTGATGAGGACCACGGCCACCATCTCAACATACACAGCTCCTCCTCTGTGCCAGGCCCTGTTTGAATAAAGTGCTTTAATTATCCAGTAATCACCTCCTATAATCCTCATGACATATTTCTCATAACCAGGGAGGTAGTATTATCATCTCCCTTTTATAGATGGAAACACTGAGACACTGACGAATAGATGACAGAGCCAGAATTTGGATGCTGGCCAGGTCAAACACCGTGTTCCCACAGCACTGTCTCTTAATAATCTACTGCTGCTTTTCTAGGGACCTTTGCTCTAGAAAATACAAAACGTCAGCGTACTGGTTTTTCATGGCTTCACTACACTTTTTATTTTTAATTAAATTTTTATTGTTATGTTAATCACCATACATTACATCATTAGTTTTTGATGTTACACTAACATTTTAAAAACTCCTTTTTTTCAAATGAACTCTTGGGCTGAACCTTAATATATTAATGACATATGAAAGCCGGGTTTCTCTAATTGAGGCCTGAAGTGGAATGCCACCTGGTTCAAATCTCCCATCTAAAGATGAAGGAAAAATGGAATTCAGGAAATTACAACAATAGCCACAATACTTTTAGCGGGCCATTTTGTCTTATTTATTCTGCAATCACCTCATTTTATGTTAAGTTTACCCACTTCATAAATCCTTTTTGGCTTATGAAACTTAACTAACTTGGTTCTAGTTATACACTGGTCAGCAGAAAGGCCAGAGCGTTGGACATGAACGAGCTTACTTGAGGCCTCCTGCTTCACCACTCAGCTCTGCTGAGCCGAACGACTCTTCTAGAGTAAATAAGGCTTTTGCCATATTCTGACCAGACTCCTTCAATATCCTTCTCCCCAAAAGCACAGCGAAGCTGCCGCAAGCGATGAATATAGAAAGGCACCAGGAAGGGGGAGATATCGAGCCAAAGAGTTACTCTCTATCGTAGCCATCTACATATAATAACTGGAAATCTTTACCTTCATTTGTCTGTAAGGAGATATAGTAGAAATCAGTTATTCCTGCTCTTAGAGTGTTTTATATATTTTAAAAGTGAATTACCTATTTTCTGTTCTGTTGCAGTTTTTGCTTCTTCTACAAACCCACGGGCAACAGGATATAAAAGGGCATAAACTTGAGTGTCTGTGCTTTCCACATCTAAAGCTGTTCATGCTGGAATTCCTCCAGCTCTGCCTCGGCCTCTCCCACCCAGCAGGATATTACCCGTGACCTGGGGCTGCCAACTGGAGGTAAAGGCACAGTGCAGGAGGAGGGTCCTCACCCTCAGGCCTCTACCACACTTTTATGCATTTAATGCAGGTGTGCCTGATGTTTGGGGTATTCACAAAACTTTAAAATATAATGCAGTCACCCTGTTAAGACACAAATCAGTAGGATTTAAAAGGCTTCTAGCTTCCTTCAGCTCCCATTTTGCTTTAATATGCTTTTATATTCTGTACTCCAAGATGATGTTTTTATATTGGGGCAAAGTTTCAGCATTGGCTGAGTTGTTCTTTTTTTTTTTTTAAGATTTTTTTATTTTTTATTTGACAGCGAGAGTGAGAGAGCACAAGCAGGGGGAGCAGCAGAGGAAAAGGGAGAAGCAGGCTCGGGGGAGCAGCAGAGGGAGAGGGAGAAGTGGGCTCCCTGCTGGGGCTTGATCCCAGGACCCCAGGACCATGACCTGAGCCGAAGGCAGACACCCAACCGTCTGAGCCACCCAGGCGCCCTCAGCTCAGCTGTTCTTGCCACATACTTTTTAGTATTTCTGATTCTTGACTTTGCAGGGGCAATTAAAAGTTTTGATTTAAAAAGCCAGACAAGGGATGCCTGGGTGGCTCAGTCGGTTAAGTGTCTGCCTTCTGTTCAGGTCATGATCCCGGGGTCCTGGGATCAAGTCCTGCATTGGGCTCCTTGCTCAGTGGGGGAGGCTGCTTCTCCCTCTGCCTGTCACTCCCCCTGCTTGTGCTCTCTGACAAATAAATAAAAACTTAAAAAAATAAATAAATAAATAAAAAGCTAGACGAAGGGCTTAAAGCTACGGTGATAATGTCAGTAAGAAATGAGCATAATCAGGGGCGCCTGGGTGGCTCAGTCATTAAGCATCTGCCTTCGGCTCAGGTCATGATCCCGGGGTCCTGGGATCGAGCCCCGCATCGCACTCCCTGCTCAGGGAAATTATTAGAAATTATTGAAGTAAAATAATTTGAAAAATATAGAAACTAAACTGATACTTTCTATTTATCACTGGCATGCCTAATGACAGGCCTGAAGATGCCGCTGTGCTGGCAGTCGGCTGTGAGCACATGGTACCACCGTGCGCACACCCTGGGAGATACAGCTCAGATAATCCCACCGGCTGGCCTTTCGTGCGTGCTTCTACAAGTAACTTACCAAAGAAATTACTATGGACAGCATATTCTGGCTCTTTAAAAAATCTTTACCATAAATGTGGTGTTCTTAACATTTAAATGAGAGAATGAGAAAAACGATTATAAATTTACCATTAGAATTTTTGTGGAGGTCCACCTTTATTTAACTATGTTTGTATAGAGCTTTCATTGACAAATTGTTTTCATATGCTTCATTCACCAACATATCCTTGCTAAATTCCAGTTCCCATTAAAGGACTAGAAAATACCAGGCAATAGTCAGAAAAAGGAATAAAACATACAGAATGTACACTTGGTTCCCTTTGTACTACACACACGCACACGCACATACATGCACGCACACATACACGCACACAGCAGGACTGTACATATATGACTATACAATGTGCCATCTGGTCATTGAGCTTCACTGTACTTGAGTCTTATCAATAAAAAACAAAGTCACCTAAGGTAAGAAAGAATTCTAATAAGAACAATATTGTTTCGCTAAAACAAGAGACATAAGAGTAAAGACGTTGAGCTAATTAGTAATTCCCATGGAACTACAGAATGAAGATCAAATCCATCATTTTTACAAGAATAAAACTCTTCAGTTGGACGTATTTACCACACCCTTCTCTGATTTTTATCTCTTAACCTAACTTGTACAATGAAGAGTGGATAATTATAAAAACAAAGATTATAAATATCTTACCATACACTCCTTTGTCTAAAAGTAGTAAAAATTCATCCACAGCATTTCGCATCTCATATTCAGTAAGATCCAACAGTGAAACAACTTTGAAATCTAGTTGTCTTAACAAATTGGTCAATTCATACACATCCACCAAAGGAGCTTTAAGCTTGGGGTGCTCCCAGTAATTCATATTTCCTATCAAAAGAGCAACCTTGTCCTTTGCTGTTAAAAAAAAAAAAGAGGGGGAATTTAGAGGAGGATATAAAGATTAAAATAAAACCTATGGAAGTGGTATAATTATAAGACATATGCTTTACAAATAAGATCTCATTATTTAATTTCATTTTAGAACTATCACTTTTTATAGACCACTTTATACAGTATACTCTCCTGAGGAACACAGGTTGGTAACTGATGAAATGAAACTTACTGATGCTTTTGAGAACCAGGCAAAGGATATTTATGAGCGGCATATGAAGCGTAATGGTAACAAATATTAATACTTTTATTCAGTTAGTAAAGAAATTAACAAAGAATATTCAACTAGACTTTTAGAGCAAATTTTAAAAAGCAATGTTAGTAAATTGGGTACCCATCAAATTAGGTTCTGTTTTGCTGACAGTGGGAAGAGGCTAAAAACAAAAGAAATACCAAAAAGAGGAACAGGACGAAGTCTCACCAGAGCAAGTAAGGGGAAAACCAAAGAGGACAGAAAAGCAGGGACTTAACAAGAACTCTATCTGTATTTTTTTAGTTGATGTACTGTCTCCTTTCGGCTTCCTTAAAAAAAAAAAAAAAATCCTGTTTGGGTGACCTTAGGGATGGATATGTGAAGACCTTTTGTATGAATATCTTAACAGTTTATTTTCTGACCTTAGTGCAGAGAATTTGCTCAAAGATGTAGTCTCGTATGAGGAATTTCTGTTTTTAAGGGGCAAACAAACTCACACCTATGCCTTAGAAAGTACCAGCTAGCTTTACCACACGCAGAGCTTGTCCTGAAGTGGCTGCAGGAGGCTGATCTGGGGTGCAGTTAGTGAACGAAGGCTGGAGACGGGAGGAGCCTGTGAGGACCGCCAGTGGGGACATGCAGCCCAGGTTCTGGTCCAAACCGTGCCCGAGGCGCCAGGGAGCAGCGGACAAGCTGTAACCAGGTCCCCCGGCAGAGCCCAGCCAACTGCCTGAGGAGCCGCACGGGGCAGGATTGGGAGCTGCCGACTGACACAGGTCAGGACTAGGTAACCATCCTCTGTCACTAAACGCTGCTCAGTAGTTCCTTTATAAATTATGAAGACTACTCTCCTGAGATTGAAACAGGCATAAATAATCCCATCGCTGACTTGATGTCTGCAATATGGGGTAGAATTTCAGATGTTTCAAATCATTAAATTGATGAAAACTCTTTGGTAAAATGTCTTTTCTGACCACAGAACATTTAGGTCTAGTGTTAAGCCAGGTCTGGAGAAAAACCAGTGCCAACTCTAAAACGGGGCTCTCTCAGAGTGAAAGAAAACTCCACTTTGTGAAAAGCATCAATCCTTCTGTCATGACATCTTTATTCTACATTCACAGTCTTAGAGGCTTCTTGCAAGTTGCCTATTCCTATGAGCATATGTATTTTATTTTATTTTTAAGATTTTATTTATTCATTTTGAGAGAGAGAGAATGAGAGAGAGAGAGAGAGAGAGAGAGCAAGAGAGGGGAAGGGTCAGAGGGAGAAGCAGACTCCCCGCCGAGCCGGGAGCCCGATGCGGGACTCGATCCCAGGACTCCAGGATCATGACCTGAGCCAGAGGCAGTCGGTTAACAAACTGAGCCACCCAGGCGCCCAAGTATATATATTTTAGAAAAAAATGAAATGATACTTAAATTAGAAAATTCAGTAAAAGTCATTTCAAGGCCTACATAAATGATAATTTTTTATTCAAAAGAAAAGGTCAATTATCAAGACTATTTAAAACACAAAGATTCAGACATAAAGTTTCTACTGAACTGCCCTTCGTTCTAAAAATCATTGAAAAAGTTGAGGACACTCAGGATAGAATTCAATAGGAGGCAGTATAAAACTTAACATTACTTTTTTTTGTTTTTGTTTTAATTTCTTCTTAAATAAACTAGATCCGAGCTCTTACATCAAAGCACCCACTGTCTGGCAAGACTGTTAGCTGGCTAATCCACAGAAAGAAAATTCTCAGTGCATTTTTTTTGAGTCCATCAACCCCATCAGAATTTAGACCCGTCGATACAGTGACAGACTCAGTGCAGTCTACCTCTAAGTGGGGGAAGTAAGACGTGTGTGTGGCTTACACGCTACAGCCCAAGTCATGGGTCCCAAAGTTATGCAGGTAGTAAAGTGTTTATAAATCAGAGTTGTTGTTTTTTTGATGGAATATTATAATTATTTTTTTAAGATTTTATTTATTTATTTGACAGAGAGAGACAGCAAGAGAGGGAACACAAGCAGGGGGAGTGGGAGAGGGAGAAGCAGGCTTCCCGCTGAGCAGGGAGCCCGATGTGGGGCTCGATCCCAGGACGTTGTGATCATGACCTGAGCTGAAGGCAGATGCTTAATGACTGAGCCACCCAGGTGCCCCTAATAATTTAATTCTAATATACATCCTAGACTAAGTTTTACTGGCAAAAAACAATTATAAGAAATATAACCAAAAAAAAAAAAATCACTGGAGTCTAGGGGAAAAAGACCAGTTTTCAAACTAAGCATGTTTTTTGCTAATGTCAACTCTTTATTCATGGATTTAGTCATCTATTCAGAAAGAACACACGGTACAGTTTACAGAAGGCCAGGATTCAACAATTTAAGAACTATGTGGCTCAAAATGTATGTATCAATAGTTGACCCTAGTGCCTTAAAAGAATTTTCCCCAATGACAGTTTTTAACAGCCAATTCCTAAAATGTCTTAGAGCATTTTCTCGAGTGTAATGGTAATAAAGATGATGGGTAAGTAAATCTTACCTTGCCCAATCTACTTGTGAAACAGTTCCTGAGTGACAGGCGAACTGGGGTGCATTTGGAATAGAGAAGCAGACCGCAGTGGTCAACGTAAGAGATGACAAAGACCCATGCCAGGAATTGGTTGTAGAAAGGAAAAGGAAAAGCCAGACTTTAGAGATACGACAGAGAAAGAAGGGTAAAATGCAAAGTTGGGGAGATAGGGCAAGGAATCAAAGACAATTTCAAAATAACAACTACATAAGCAATTCATGATGGCTTGCAAATGACAAAATAGATGGAAGAAATCTTCTGAAGAAAAACATTTACTGTAAGAGCCACCCACAACTTCTTGAACACAAACCATTTATTGGAAAAAGGAAACAAAAATGCCAGTTGATTAAGCAACAGAATAATAAAACCACTTCAGAAAGCTATTTTAACTACATGATCCTAGGCATCTTCCAAAGCTTAATGCAATGTATTCTTCAAAAACCGGTACAATGTTACTGTATTAATTCCATGTGTAATTATTTGAATAGTGTGTTACTCATCTTACCTCATCTAAAATAAATAATATTCCCAAGTACCCGGAAAAGAACCTGATACAGATTAAGTGCTGTTTAGGTATTTGTTAAGTGTAAAAACACTTGGCTATCAAAAATTGAGTATCAGCACCAAATTTGACTAAATATACAGTCCTTGTTGGTCTGCACAAAATCTTTTAACTTCTATGTCCTATAAAGTCAAATCCAAGCCTACCTCTCCAGATGTGGTAGAAGGTGTGGTGACCTCCAAGGAGCCACGCTATCCTTGCCCTCAGGGTACAGACCCGCAAGCCAGCTCCCACCCCGAATCTGGGCTGCCCTGTGATTCTCTCTGAACAACATAATTTGGCGTGACACTTGCCAGTTCTGGGTCTAAACTTAGGAAGTCTGGACGACTCCCACTTTTGAGACCCAGACACCATGTAAAGAAAAAATTTAGCTACATGGCAAGACCACGTGGGGAAGGAGGGGAGGACAGGGAGGGGGAGAGAGTGAAGGAGGCCCAAGGTTGTACAACGGGAAGACAGAGGAGTACAAGACCCTTCTAAGGGGGCAGCCACTATTTAGCACAGCTACCCCTCAAGAGCTGCCACTTTTCAAAAGAACCTAGAAATCTAAATTTTGATATAACACCTGATTAATGACAATTGATTCTGTTAAAAAATAACTGTATGGACTCCCCTCCTCATCCCCACCCCCCCAACAAAGGTTACCCAGTTTGTGCCCTTTTCTCTGTGGCCTGTGGTAATCTCATGTATGCTACCACTTGGTCTGAATTTCCATCTCTATGCTGATGATGCTCCTAACTCTACCTGTAATCCTGCCCCCCCCACCCCCCCAGAGCTCCAGATCCATATACACAATTGCCTGCTGTATATCTTCACCTAGATGTGATCAAATACCTCATACAGGTTACGTCTCAAAAGGACAGTCATCTATCCTCTGGATCTTGCCTTCCATTCTGTATTCTCTAACTCAGTGGACTATTACTGCCCACCTAGTGGGACAACCAGGAATCCAAGCAGGCATGGTGATTCCTCTCTACTTTTTATGCCCTATAGCCAAGGTCATGAGAATGGCTTACTGATTCCATCGCCTAAAGGTCTTCAGAGTCTGCTCGGTCTTCTGCATTCGCATTGGTACCATCTTGTTTAGATTCCCATGATTTCTTATCTAGACTACTGCAACCGTCTCTTAATTTTTCTCCTAACCAAAACACTGTCTCCCTCCAGTTTACTTTCTCCACCCCTACAAGGCTGGCCTTTCAGAGAGACAAATCACAGCCCTCTACCAACAAGTTTCCTTCCAATGGCTTGCATGAGAAACGGGGCTCCTCCAGGGCTGGCGTCTTCCGACTTCTCTCCCACCTTCTCTTTGTGCTCTAGAGGACTGTGTGTTACTTGCAGTTCCCAAAATACAACATACCGGCTCATTCTCTACAATGGTGTGCTTGCAATTTCATGCTTCCTCTGTCTGGAAGGTCCTTCTAGTCATCCTTTTTTCTTTTTTTAATTTTTAAGTAATCTCTACACCCAAGGTCGGGCTTGAACTCATAACCCTGAGATGAAGAGTTGCATGCTCCACTGACCGAGCCAGCCAGGCGCCCCTCTATTCATTCTTTAAAAAATAAAGCTGCTACTGCAACCTCTCTGCTGCTTCTCCGATCTCTAACCTAAGACACAGGATTAATCACTTCTATGTAACATGTGCGAGTTTCTTGTTTACCTAGTTGTTTGTTTGCATGCTGCCAAAACAAAGAAATTGCTCCACAGAAGTTGACTAGGTCCCAGAAACTGAATTCATAATCTTTTTAAGATCCCTGTTCTATAATTTCTTCTACAAATATCCAAAATAAAACATTTGGTCTCAGTGTCATTTAAATATTTATAATGTCAAATTAAAATGTCTTGAATCCCCCTCATGACCACCATAAAAGCATTATAAAGCTGCATTTTGACCAAGCATTTTATTTACTTATTTAAAAAAATATTTTATTTATTGATTTTAGAAAGAGAGAGAAAGCTTGCAAGTGGGGTGCGGACGGGCAGAAGGAGAGGGAGAGAGAGAATCTCATGCAGACTCTTGTGAGATCACGACGTGAACTGAAAACAAGAGTTGGACGCCCAACTGACTGAGCCACCCATGCACCCCTATTTTGACCAAGCATTTTATTTACACTTATTAAGCAGGCATGGAGCCCAATGTGGGGCTTGAACTCACGACCCTGAGATTGAGACCTGAGCTAAAATCAAGAGTCAGACACTTAACTGACCAAGCCACCCAGGCACCCCTGGACCAAGCATTTTAAAGCTCTACTCACCCAAAGGCTGATCAGTTGTTTGCTCTTTATTGTCTACAAAAATATAAAAATATAATAAAGATAAGGTGTTATTGTCCATGATACAAACATCTGCAGGGTTAAAGATATATGGAAACAATGAACAATAACATCAGCAGCATCAAAAGACAGAATGTGGTTCCTAACAGCTAACTAATAATTTTAATATTTTCAGATTTTTTTTTTTTGAAGATTTTATTTATTTGACAAAGAGAGACACAGTGGGAGACGGAATACAAGCAGGGCGAGTGGGAGAGCGAGAAGCAGGCTTTCCACTGAGCAGGGAGGCCGATGCGGGGTTCGATCCCAGGACCCTGGGATCATGACCTGAGCTGAAGGCAGACACTTAACGACTGAGCCACACAGGTGCCCCTAATATTCTTGATAAATACACCTTGATGGACAGAGTAGAATCAGGACAGGGGACTGTTTTGGTAATTAATGACCATAGCTGGGGGTAGTAATCTCTAATACGCTAGGGAGAAATGAGTCTGGAAATGGTGGGGGTGGTACTAAGCAGTAGCAGGAATGGTTAGCAGTTACTGAAGGCTTGCCTGGTACTGTTCTATGTGTTTTAAATATAATGGATTTAGATAAGCCTCACCTTGTCTATGAGGTATATACTTCCTCCATAATATAGATAAGGAATCTGAGGTACAGGGAGATTGAGTCATTTGCTCAAAGTAATTGAGCTTGTAAGTCTCACTCCACAGTCCACGCTCTTTGCCATCTACATACATAAAATGAAAAAACCTCCCATCCCAAGGACCATGCAGGAAAAGATGCAGGGAAAGATGGGAGTTGAGTCAATAACATGTCTACTATTATAGACAGGGTAACTCTGTTTGCATTCTTAATAATATATGTAACTACTGGAATCTATTAAAAGTTCATTAAAAATTTTCTTTTTCAAAAACTCAGTGTTGGGGGCATCTCTTGATTCTTGAGGAATAAGGATATAATGAAAGAGGGGGCCAGGAAAATCTTAGAAGCTTAGTGGTGGTTTCTCGCAAAAGTTTTCCTGAAATAACTTTCACAATGTTCGCTGAACAGCAAGAAATAAAAGAGGGAAAGAGGATTCTACCGAGACCAAGGGAAACAACTAGCTCCCTCACTGCATGGGTTTGGATGTCTGAAGCACACGTCCCCGTGAGGCCCCTCAGGACGACGGCATGCCGGTAACAGAGGCCTTCCGGTGTGTCTCATTTGCATCTGCGTAACGGGCACAGCCTGATCATCACTTGCAATAATAGAGGTGTATTAGTAAAATATGGGCACGAAACTAAGCAGACTAGTTACGGTGCTAAAAAAAAAATGAGAAATAACATGTTGAGAAGACAAGGGATCACTGTAAATATTAAATGATGTAACTGACTTCCTAAACTACTAGTGTAAGGTTTTAGTTTCAGATATTTTCACAGGCTCCATCACTGCCTTCCAGGATCTCAGGCCCATGCTGATGTCCCCTATCTTTACGTGGTCTTCAGTATTACTATGCTTTTCACCATAGTTGAGGGTTTCCTTTTAGCTTTAATCAGAAATCTGATAAAAATTGGCGAGAATGATGAATACTTCTGCTGTCAGTCTCTCTTACTATTTTTTTAAAGATTTTATTTATTCATTTGACAGAGAGAGACACAGCAACAGAGGAAACACAAGCAGGGGGAGGGGGAGAGGGAGAAGCAGGCTTCCCGTGGAGCAGGGAGCCCGATGCGGGGCTCGATCCCAGGACCCTGGGATCATGACCTGAGCTGAAGGCAGATGCTTAACGACTGAGCCACCCAGGCGCCCCTCTTATTTTTTTTTTTAAGATTTTATTTATTTATTTGAGAGAGAGAGGGAGATAGCAATAGCATGAGTGGGGGGGAGAGGGAGAGAGAAAAACAGATACCCTGCTAAGCAGGAAGCCCACCTTGGGGCTCGATCCCAGGACCCCAGGATCATGACCTGCGCCAAAGGTAGATGCTTAGCCAACTGAGCCACCGAGGTGTCCCTGCTGTCCATCTCTTAATGGTCCATGACCAACTATTTCTCTGTATAACACCAACAATCCTCAATCACACACCTTTTACTTCAAATAAAGACACCCCATTAACTGCCTTTTTATGACACAGTTATATGCAATGATAAAAATATACATTGATATTTTGTTTCTGCAGTATACTTATTCTGTAGTTTTATAATCTAGAATATTTTTAATATTTTCACTTGCATCAAATTATCCTTCATGTAAGTACTAATTTCAACCCTGAACTGTATTATTTTAATAACGAAAAAATTTACTAGTACTACAATAGCAGAATATCTAGTTATTATATTCAAGCTAATGTTTTATGTTTATAGTACTCACCAGGATGCCCAAGATTATTTAATTCATCTAAAATGAAATAAGAGAAAATAAGTTTTAAATAATCAAACTGCCAATTTAGTACAAGTAGTAAGACTAATCAGAAAAGCAGGTTTCAAGCTATTAAATCATGTTATAATATTTCATTAGTTTAGAACTTTTCAAATGCCTTCAGGGAGAAGCCATGCAACTACCAAGCATGAAAGAATGCTACTGCTGATATTGTGTAGAACTTTTGACCTATTGCTACTTTCATTAAATGACAAAAAGCTGAACAGACTCATTCATGATTTGTTCAAAGTTTTAGATATTCTGGCCTTTTGGTACAGAAACAGTCAAGGGATAGGTCTGTGGCCTCTACGGGAAACTATGAAACAATCTCAAATGATTTCTTCTTTTTTAATAAACTTTTAATTTTAGAATAGTTTGAGATTTACAGAACTAATATGAAGACAGTAAAGAACTCTTTCCTGCATACACCCATACCCAGCCTGTTTTAACATCTTATGTTTAGTAAGGTGTATTTGTCACAACTAATGAACCATTACTGTTCTTTTTTCCCCCGGGACCCCATGCAGGACACATTATATTTTCTTATGTCTCCCCGGGCTCTTTGCCGTGACCGTTTCTGAGGCTTTCCCTGTTTCTGATGGCCTTGACAGTTGTGAAGGTTACTGGTAGGGACTTTGTAGAATGTCTCTCACTTTGGATTAGTTGATGTTTTCCTCATGCTTAGACTGGTGGAATGTGTTTTTGGAGGTACAGTGGTTTCAGAATTATTAACCCGTTCTCTCCAGCTAAAGGAGAGATAAAATCATCTAAGCAAATACCCATGACATTATAGCCATCTATTTTTCCTTTACAAATCTTATGAAGATGCAAATTAACATTAACAGTAAATTACAAATGTTATGCTGTTGATAAGATGTCACAGAGGAACTTATTCTTATCTGTGATGTAAAGTCAACGGAAGAGCATCATCAACTAGAGTACAGGGCTCCAGACACTTTCTTTTGCCTCTTGTCTTACAGACTTCATTCATTTCTAGTTACTTAGGTCAGCACCTTGTTCTTCCTTCCCCTCTTCACTGAGGTTGCTGCATACATTTGTAACGCATTTAGATTCTCTGGCGACATTCTGCTTTCCATCCTGGGATTCCCCCTCCCCTGACCTCCTACTAGATGATTTTAAAGACTTGCATACATGTATTCACCATTACAATGATCATACAGAATAGTTTCACTGCCCTAAAAAAATCCCCTGAGCTTCACTTATTCAATCCCCACCTTTTGTCCTGACCAAATATCTTTAACAAAATACATAAAGTGAAACAAGTAACATCATGTTTTGCAGGTTAAAAAAAAAGATATGATGTAGGATACTGTTAATGGTATGTGTCAATCCACTAAACATAAAACATCTCAACATTTACACTTTTTTAGAAAGAAAAGTTGGATCTAATTCTCCCATCTGAAATTTCTGAAGTAGTTTTCATACTCGGATCTTCATCTCTAAGTGTGCTGAAAGGCTTATGTGAACATTAGAATTTGACAGTGTGTTTGCTACTGTAAAAACTACAGAGATGATCATACAGGTAAAGAAACAGCACAGCAGGTAATTTCCATGCATCACCCTGAAGCCAAACAGCAGGGCTAGTTTATATTTGTTCTTAGAGATATTCAACTTTGGAAAGTTTAAAAATCATGCAATTAGGCAAAATAGAAGAGAAGGAAGAGGAGTTTGTTAGGATTTCTTCACTTAGTGTCCCTCATGTAAGGCCTCTATAGACAACAGGATTGGAATCCCCCTTACGCTAGAGAATTCCTGTTCAAAAGTATGCATTAGGACAAAAAACAGTAATTGCAGCATTTCAATGTGATACCACAGAGATACGAAAGACAGCAGAACCCAGGAAACAAAAGATTTAACTTTTTTTGTTTTTTACTTTACCCAAGTAGAGCCCAAGATTATGTAATAGTTTAAAGAAGCAGAAATTGAAAAAATACTTTGCTATTTACAAACCAAATTCTGTAAAACAATGTGATGTACTAAGGGAAGGTAACAAGTATTAAAATTTATTCGTTAGAACTTATGTACAATGCTTTGCATAATTAAAACAAATTTAAAAGCTTATATTGAAATAGATTTTCCAGTTCTTATAAATTATGGTAAAGATGACAAGGTAGATTAATCTACAGACTTATAGCTTCAAAAAATGGATCTAATTTTATGCTGAAATAGAAATATTAGGCATTTGATAAAACATGTGTTTAACAAGAAATCGCCTATCCTGAAACTCTCACAAAAGCCACATTTGCATTTGAACAGCAAATAATCATGGCTAAAAGGATGGCTAAAGTCATTTAAACAATTATTCATGGTAGTAGAGCCATCCATCTTTTTAACGAATTTTATAAAGATAAAAATTAACATTAAGAATTAATTGTAAATGTTTCCTATTCGTAAGATGTACAGAAATGCTATTCTTATATGCAATAGAAAATCAATGGAAAATTAGTTACCTTAATAGTGTGTCAGTTTAACAATGTCCCTGGCAATTTACAAATCCTGAGACTCGGTGAAATTTCTTTCTTATAGCTAGTATTTTTTCCATCACTGCACTCAGCAGGCTAGAGCACTCCACCAATCCCCAGAGGAACCAGCATGCAGGATATGTGGTTTCAAACCAAAGGATTTACACTACCTTCAGTGCACTCCACTGCCTCATCTGTTCTTCCTTGTTCCAGAGAAAACAAATGTGAATATACTGTAATTCATGATCTTAGGAAGGGCAGCCATCAGGTAAACAGAGAAATAAATATCATAGAAATATGTTGGCAAACCAACATATGCATCACCTCTCCTACTGCTGACAACTTATCTATAAATGCATTAAGTTTAAACAGAGCAAACTCCCAGATTACAAACTTTATAATGGGGACGGTTGATTAATGATCACTCTTTCCTTCCTATGTCTGTGATGCCTGGTTTTTAAAAGTGTTTTATTAAAAATCTTTTCCCACTTAAAAGTTTTTTTTTATAACTGAAGTTTTTTTTTTTTTAAGATTTTATTTATTTATCTTAGAGAGAGAGACAGAAAGAACAAGCAGGGGAGCAGCAAAGGGAGAGGGAGAAGCAGGCTCCCCGCTGAGCTGGAAACCCGATGCGGGGCTCAATCACAGGAACCCAGGACCATGACCTGAGCCGAAGGCAGATGCTTAACCAACTGAGCCACCCAGGCACCCCTATAACTAAAGTTTTAAAGAATACTTTTTTTTGCCACAAATGTTTATGATTGTGAATTTAGTATGTATTCTCTTGAATTTCTATATAAATAACTCTGGATACTCAACACGACATTAAATAGAATGGGGTAAAAAGCAGAATTTCCATTGCTTTAATGTTTCATTTTATGTAACTTCTACCCCACTTACCAGAACACTAAGAGTACTTACCTATGATGATTTCTACCTTCTTGCTATCCTGACTGTCTCGGTCATTATAAACATGACACCAGTAGGTTCCCTGATGTTCCAGATCCACATAAGGTACCTATTATCAATATCAGAACACACACACACACACACACACACACATTTCCTTTCAATTTAAATTGGCTTGGAGAGAAACTTATTTTGAATTAGGAAAAAAAACCTGTAACATTTAAGAGGACTTTAGACATTCTTAGATTATTTTCATTTATTAGATTAAATATTAGCAGGCAAATGATACAATGATTCCAATAATGGTGAGTTAGGTGTAGTACTATTTGACATTTTAAAGATTTTATTTTTTATTTATTTATTTTTTTAAAAAGATTTTATTTATTTGACAGAGAGAGACACAGCGAGAGAGGGAACACAAGCAGGGGGAGTGAGAGAGAGAGAAGCAGGCTTCCTGCTGAGCAGGGAGCCCGATGCGGGGCTGGATCCCAGGACCCTGGGACCATGACCTGAGCCGAAGGCAGATGCTTAACGACTGAGCCACCCAGGTGCCCTAAAGATTTTATTTTTAAGTAATCTCTACACTCAACATGGGGATCAAACTTACAACCCCATGATGAAGACTTGCCCACACCACCGACTGAGCCAGCCAGGCGCCCCTATCTGACATTTTAGTATCAGCCCTTAGATGTGGGCTAGTGTTATGTTCCAGCATTTCTGTAAATATAAGAATGAGCTAATAACTGAATACATTTCGGCTCAAGTCATGATAACTAATGATTATCATTAAACATTAAAACACCTCAATGAATATGAATTTTAATGTTTGTCTTAATTTTCAATTATACTACTTATTTTATATATCTACACAAAAAAATACCCAAATAACCAACTTCTTACCATGTATAGCTTTTTTGTCTCATGTATTAATGGTGATTCATTTTTGAACCACTGGTAGTGAGGAATAGGGCTTCCAACAGCAACACACTGTAAGACCAATGTGCTACCAAGCATCAGCTTTTGGGACCTTGGTTCAACGCAGATTTGCAACTTGGGTTCAGAGATGCCATCCACACTTCCTTAAATTAAAAGAAAAATATCACTAAACATAAATAAAATCCCTAGGTCAGTAAGAAAAAATGTTCCCCCTTTAACTAAAAACAGAAACAAAAAACAACATAAAAAGGTGTTTTCAAGTTATTTTTTATGATCCTTAACAGTACCTCCTAAAACTGTTTCATAAAACTGTGATACATCTAGAAACACTACGAGATGTTCTGTGGTTAAAAGGATGCCGTAGACAAGTACGTTCAGAAAATTCTAGGTTAAACAAAGTTAAACAGATTTTTTTATTGCAGGACTTCTCAGAGCTTTAAGTGTTATATGCTTTGTTTATTTAAAAGGGCAAAATAGTTAGAGTGGTTTCCACACGTTTGGCCACAGATTCTTTTTGGTGGGGGCAAATAACATCTTGAGTGATATTCACATTCAACATAGAAAGTTCTACATTCTGCTGTTTGATTTAAGTTATTAAAAGGAGTTTTAGCATGGAATAAATATGGATGGATGATCACTAGCATTTCTTCCTGAGGCAGACACCAGAAAGCATTATTACTATTACTTTTTTAAAGATAAATTTATTTATTTATTTATTTAAGATTTTATTTATTTATTTGACAGAAAGAGACAGCGAGACAGGGAACACAAGTGAGGGGGTGGGCTGGGGTGGGAGAGGGAGAAGCAGGCTTCCTGCTGAGCAGGGAGCCTGATGCAGGGCTCGATCCCAGGACCCTGGGATCATGACCTGAGCTGAAGGCAGATTCTTAACGACTGAGCCACCCAGGCGCCCCTAAAGATTTATTTATTTTAAAGAGAGAGAGAGAGAGCATGTGCACGTGTGCACCCATGAGGGGTGGGGGAGGAGGAGGAGAGAGAGAATCTTAAGCAGACTGCACGCTCAGTATGGAGCCCAACACAGGGCTCAATCTTACGACCCTGAGATCATGACTTGAGCCGAAATCAAGAGTCCAGTGCTTAACTGAGCCACCCAGACGCCCCCAGAAAATGTTACTTACTGAACCCTCATGTGTTGCTCTAAGTCCTCGAGGAAGGAGGACCTGTCATTGTTACCCAATACCAAGTCTCCATCATGAAACTCAGTGTCTCACACATTGCAGGTGATCGGTCTTTGCTGAATGAATAGGATTTAACTTATAAACATATTAAAGTTCATTACACGCATAGAAATATCCTAGAAAGATATAATTTCCTTGTTTAATAATGACTATTTTTAGAGATTATTTATTTAGGTGTAGGAAAAGCTAAATTGAGAAAGAAGAATGGAGACAGGTAACAACAAGTCTGTTTCCCACCTATTCTTTCTGTGGTAAAATGACAAAGAATATAAATCTTGATTGTGAGTGTGACTACAGAAAATAACATCTGATGGCTACTCTTTAGAATAGGTTGATTTTTTAAATCAGTACTAGTTACTGGCCTAAGAAGCTGAATGACAGAGAGGAAAAAAAAAGTCTGATGAAATGCTTTATTGTGGAGAATGATACGCTACCTGCCCTTTCACGGCAAAGGCAACTCTAGAGGTCTTATTCCGCAACGTGATTTTGTCAGCGTAATACAACAGTTTGGGAGAAAGATACAGTGTAGAAAGAAATAGGAGGGACGTTTGCAGAGGCCAGTGGCAGGGCTGGCCTAAGGCATCTATCTGCACGTGCACATGTCTGTGGAGAAGGGACCAAAGCACACGGGATAAAGTCTGACCAACTGGTGATAAGTACGTACATGAGCTTCCGGTCCTGTTTGTGATATTGTGAAATTCAAGTAAACATTCAAAATAAAATAAGGCAATTCCCATCCCAAAATTCAACTTAATTTCTCACTTACCCTGGAAGCTTTCTGTTACTTCAGTGACATCACAAACATCCAGCTGTGACCACTGGCTGAATTCAAAGGTGAAATTATTATTAACTCGACAGACATAAAAGCCTGCATCTTTTACATGCACTGTGTTAAAAATAAGTTCTGATGCATTTCCGTTTGGGATCTGTGAAAGAATCAGTAAGAGACTGTAAATGAATGACTCATCAAAACATGCCTTATAAAAATGTGCCATGCAAAAAAAGGTGTTGATTTCTCTGGAGCCTTGAAAAGCATATTTCCCCCCCCAAGTTCTAAAATATTTTTTACTTAAAAAAACAAACCACATTTTGAATAATTTAAGACTAAAGTCTTAGAAATCCACACTCTTTTACAAATCCATTAACTAGAGAGTTAAGATCTCTTCCACAGATCTTCCAAAAACTAACAGGAAAGTATCTGTTCTGTCATTTAAAACTATTCAAATCATTAGTATTTAAAGAATCTACAATGGCAAATTTATAAATAACAGAGAAAGTTAGGCCCGACTATTCATTTCAGTTCTGGCCAAATTAGCTGTGAGTACCTAAGCAAGTTATTTCACCTTGAGACCCCATTTTCTCATCTGCAAAATTCCGTAAAAGGACAGACTCCTGAACAACCACTCTTCTTTCAGGATCTGGGCAGGGAAGGGCTATGGAAAGCATGCCAGTGATGGGAAGAAATGGCCACCCAAGGGTTTCCCAAGCTCTCCCCCAGGGCTCTGGTCACCACATTAAGGTTTCTTTCACCTTTGCTGCTCTCATCAATTTGTATAGTGCCACCCACTTCTGGCACATTGTCAAGGGGCTTAGTCGAGTGCCCTGTTATATTACATAGTTCCCTTTCAAAAGTATCCCTCTCCAAACCCCAACCAACTGAATTCCACTCTTGCCCCTTCAGAACCTGCACCAGAGCAAGAGCATTCTGCTGAAGGTTTGACAACTAGGATGGCAGGCTGCCCTTGGCACCATGTTAATGTACTAAGTCTGCTTTCCTACTAGACTATTAATGCATATTTTGTGTCTCTTCAAACCTCCTACAATCAATCCTGCTTCTCTCAGCTACTGACTTCAGATAGAAACTCTCCTCTTCCTGCAACCAAAGCTATCTATGTATCTCTTTATAACTGCTCTCTTCTTTCTGTTAAAATGGAAAATGCGTCTTCCTGGCAAAGGCTACTTGGGCTTAGGATCTGTGGGGATCCACTCAGAACCTCAGACTTGGTATGTAGACTAGTTCAAGCTGCAGACATTTGGGATCAATAGGTGCAGAAAGCAGCTTTCTCAGAGACCCCCCATCTGACTAAAAGTAGACACTTCTGGGAAATGAGGCTACCATAAATTCCTTCTTCAGGGTGGCTTTGCCCAGGAAGGAGACCAAAAATAAACCTACTACAAATCCCCTCTCCAGGAGAGTTTTATGGCCATGATGAAGATGGGAAAACCACTTTCACCCACAATGAATAAACATGGTCAAACTTTCTCATCTCCTGTTTATTCTTCTAGAAACCCCTTTGTATTTCTTAAAGAAACCCATCTGTTCCTCTCATAGAGGCCTTTGTCCCTCTACCTTTCTCCCTACTAAATTAGGTATGTAAGGCTTTAACTTTAACTAGTCATGGAACTACTTCCTTTGTAAGTTCCGATACTAATACACTTCTTCTCTTGTCAATCTGTATTTTGTCAGTTAATTCACAGGAACCCAGAGAATGAACATAAGAGAGCAGAGGAAAACATTTTCCTTTCCTGTCAATTCCATCCTCTCTGACCTTGCTCCTGCAATTTTCTCTCTGCTTTACCATCTATTTCTCTTCTATTGTATCACTCTTGAAAGCATACTCTAGTCCTTTGTATCTTAAATAAGTAAAAAACCCCAAACAAGCCTCCCTTGACATGCACCCGCTCCTCTCAGCAGCACTGAAAATGCTAACTACCCCTTTTTTCTTGAAATGCCTTCCCTTTTAGGCTTCATACCATCCTCTGCTGGATTTCCTCCCAGCTCTCTTGCAGGTTCTTAGTCTCTTTACTGGTTTGTCTTCCGTAACATAAACTTTCAAAGACTCTCCAGATATCCAAACTGCCTAGCTGATTCATGTAGATGTCTAATGGGCATTTTGAACTTAATGCATCTAAAACCAAATCCTTGATTTTTCTCCTTAAATCCATTTCTTTCCCAATCTTCAATACCTCAGTATATAACACGTCCCCAGATGCTTCCATAAAAAATCCAGGGGTCATCCTTGATCTCTCTTCCTTTAACCTATCAGGTGTGATCAACTCTCCCTCTAAAATAACCTGACCTGAGCCCTCTGTTCCCTCTTCACTGCCCTGCCACTATTTCCAGTCTACCACAAGCATTAGCTAACTGGTCTTCCCGCTGTTCTCTTGCTTCTCTTTAAGCGGCAGCTTTGTGTTTTAAAAACATAAATCCTATCATGTTACTTCTGCTTAAGACGGTTAGTGGCTTCTCACTTTAGATCACCCTTCTGATTCTCCTCATAGTTCTTAACTCAAAGAATTCTATTTGTTTGCTGTCTCTCCCCACCGGAGCAGGACCCTGTACGTCAGTGCTTCATCATCACGGCCTTACATCACGGCCTGGCACAAAACAAGTGCTCATCAAGTACTTGTTAAATGAATATCTCTTAAAATAACCCCATGGCCATAAAGGTAGTCTGACAAAACTCGACCTTGTGAGGGCTTTAAAATCGATTACAACTCTTCTAATCTAAGAAGTACTCCCCACCTCCTACATTTTTACCTTTCTCAAATCAGGGCATATTTTACAAATGATATGCTTAATGTAGCAAGTTTTATCTGTTATTTCTCCCTTTTCAAAAGACATTGACTAAGATAAAAGCAACTTTGCAATTGAGAAAATGTTAAAAATAACTTCAGTTACCATCTCCTGAAAGCCTAGGTACATGAAACACATTGTCTATTAAATTCTTATAACCCTGGATGACAGGAATTTGTATCACAAAAAAAATGACACTCAGGGTTCCAACACAGGCCTGTCCAGCACCAAAGCCTATATGCAATCTTTTACTACAGTTCAGCGGCTCTACCTTACCTCTGTGTAAGGGATGAGAATAAAAAATCGTATAACACCACACATTTCTTCTAAGGCACAGGATGATCCCATTAAAGGAAAGATCATGATCTTAGAACGGCTCTTTAACTTAGTTTCAGGTTTGCAAATGTAGACTTAGTACTGAATTTGGATGAAAGCTTAGTTATTTGACTAACAGGTTGAAAAGAGTATGGAGTTTCAAGGTACAATCTAGGAGGGAAGGGGGCTAGGGGAGGTGGAGTGGGAGAAGAGAGGAGCCAACCAAAGCGAGACTCAACATGGGCTAGCCAGACCAGTGGGAAACACTCAGTGGCAGAGTAGCTCAAAGAACTTTTTTTTTTTTTATATTTTATTTATTTATTTGACAGAGAGAGAGAGAGAGAGAGAGAGCAGCAGAGTGCAAGCAGGGGGAGCTGTAGAGGGAGAGGGAGAAGCACTCTCAGCTGAGCAGGAAGCCCCATGTGGGGCTCGATCCCAGGTCCCTGGGATCATGACCTGAGCTGAAAGCAGACGCTTAACCAACTGAGCCACCCAGGCACCCCTAGCTCAAAGAACTTTTAAGAAAAAAGAATTCCAATATGTAATTTTAAATTATTTACTGGGTGGTGCAGGGATACACCACACTGAATTTTACTTCAGAATCTACCACAATAGCCTAAATCTTTTGATATAATAGTTATGTGGAACATTTAAAATAATCTTCCATTAGCCTTCTGTGGCACCTTAAAAATCTTTTATTTAAAGATTTTGGTTTCCTTTTTTCAGGTGGTCGGGAAGACAGTGAACATTCATACTGAGTGCATCTACCCAAAGCAGCCAACCATCTTTCAAAATAAGAAGAGGGACTTGCTTGGAGAAACTGGTAAAGAGAAGCTACTACAATACCATAAAAACTTTGGTCTGGGTTTCAAAATGCCCAAGGAGGTCACTGAGTGTCCTGTACTGACAAGAAATGCCCCTTTACTGGTAATGTCTCGATCCAAGGGCAGATTCTGTCTAGTGTGGTGATCAAGATGAAGGTACAGAAGACTGTCATCAACCGAGACTTCCTCCACCACATCTGAAAGTACAACCGCCTTGAGAAACACCACAAGAATATGTCCATACACCTGTCCCCCTGCTTCAGTGATGTCCAGATGGGTAATACTGTCACAGTGAGTGAGTGCTGACTCTTGAGCAAGACTGTGTGCTTCAATGTGCTCAAAGTCACACAGGCTGCTGGCCCAAGAAGCAATTCCAGAAGTTCTGAGACTAGAGGGCACACACCGCCAAAGAAAATAAAGTTACTAAAAAAAAAAAAAAAAGAGAGAGACATTTTGGTTGGAACATAATCTGTAGTTAAGGAATTTTGGATGGGTACGTTAGAATGTACTGGTGATATGTACTATTTGTTAATGTTGTTCTAAGTAATAATACTGATTTCCACAATTTTTAGAGTCTAGAGAATTGATTTTATTATTGCTTACCATTTTAAAAAAAATATTTTATTTATTTATTTCAGAGAGTGAACAAGAGGGATAAAGAGAGTAGGGGGAGGGACAGAGGGTGAAGGAGAAGCAGACTCACTGATAAGTGTGGAGCCCGATGCCAGGATCCTGAGACCACAACCTGAGCCAAAGGCAGATGCTTAACTGACTGAGCCACCCAGGTGCCCCATTTACCATTTTTTTTATAAGACAACTTTTGGAACTGTCTTACCAAAATAATAATTATTGACTACTTCAGTAATAACACAGCCATGTCTATCAGATCAAAGTTCCAAAAAACACACTGAGGATAATGATGCTAAATAATTTGCTATCATTCTCTCTTCTTATGACAAGGGAAGTAAAATACATTTTAAAAATTACCTCTTTATTCATTTTAAACCATTGATATTGTACAAAGGGATGTCCAGTTGCCCGGCAACACAGTTTCACAAACTGTCCAGCCAACACTGCCTTTGACTCTGGGTTGACGGTGATCTTTATGCCTTAAAAAAAAAAAAAAAAAAAAAGTTAAATAACTCATGGAAGAGAGGTTTTCCTTGTTTAAGTTTCTGAAACCAAAAAGTATTTTGGAAATTACCTGTATATTCATCCTAGCTGTAAACTGCCCATTCATATCTCCCTCCCCACCAGATTATGCCTCTGTGAGTTCCAGGCTTTGTAAAACCAAGAGGAAAGAAACTCATCCACAGAAGACTTTGATCTACTGTACTTCCCGTGGCTGGGGGAGAAAACTGTTTGCCATCTTTCAATTCTTAGAAATATTTTTTTCATGTCCTAACCCCTCTGAAATCAGGATGCACCTTATAACAGATGCCTGCTAGACAGCAGGCATGATGCAGTTCTCAGTGCCAGCTCTTCAAATACTCGGTCGTAAACGCTCATGTGGCTGGCACTCCCACTGACTTAGGGGCACTGTTGCAAGCGGTGGCCACTGAAAAGGTCTTCAAGACATATTTATTTCAGTGCTATGATTTAGCATTAAAATGAAAATAACTCTGTACACAGAAAGGCACAGAAACAGAACAGCAGGATATAAATCCGACACATGTGATACAGACATTTCTTATCTGAGAAATGACTCTCAGCATCAAAGCTTGGGAAAGCTTTAAAGAAAATCCTAAGTCAATTATGGAACTACCTGCCCCCTGTCCCCCCCCACCCCCTCGTCTCCCTTTCACTTACTCCCTCTGGGGAAGCCTGCTGCCACGTCATGAGATGCTCAGGCAGCCCTGTGGGAGGCCCAAGTGCTAAGGAAAGAAACTTTCATGTAAGTGAACCATCCGAGAAGAGGACAGTTCAACCCCAGTTGAACCCCAGACGGCTGCAGCCCTGCCCCAACGGCTTGATCCTCACCTCATCAGAGGCCAAAACTGGAGCCAAAACCACCCAGCTAAGCCATTTCCAGGTTCCTATCCTCAGAAATGTGAAGTAAAAAATGGTTGTTGTATTAAGCTTTGGCTTTTGGGGTAATTTGTTATGCAGCAACAGATAACTGACACAATGGAAACCAAAGTTAGGAAGTTTTACATTTGCCGAAGTTATAATACATAAAACTGGGTTAGCTGGCTTCCAGGAAGGAAGAAAAGATCATTAAACTTGTAAAATGTAACTCCCTGCACCTAGTTTTATTTTCTTTCTTCATCTATCCTGAATATGATCTCATAACAGTATCTTTTTCTTCTATAAGCCACCAATCTAAAGGAATAAAACAAGATTACAATTGGAGTTAGTCCAATAATAGCAATCTTAGTACATCCAAGATACCAACCTTTCCAGGACAAAAATAGTATATAAGGTAAAACAGGTATGTGAAAACCATTCCAGAAAGATACCAAATAAAACCAAAATCCAAAATAAATAAATATTTATTGCATACCTATTACATTTGAGGGTCTGGAGAAACCCTAGAAAATCTTTAGTAAAGTCAGTAGAGCCTCTCAAAAAAGAATTTAAAACTTTTGCCAAGGGAGAACTTTCCTATTCATTAATTCTTTATGTTGATGCCAAGTTAGCACAGTATGGCAGAAGTAACAGTTCTTCTGGAACCTGTACTATGTGCTGGTTGCAGAGGACATGGTAAAGACAGAAAATGGAATAAGCACTCTCACTTTGGCCGGCAAATTTACAGCACTGCATTTAAGGCTCCCAATGCCATTCTTTAGCCACGAGACACATACATCACAACTTCAAGATACAAAGATTCTGATTTTCAAAGTTTACGTGTGATAAGAAAAAAAAAAAGTTGTAACAACAAAAAAAGGGAACAAATATAAATATGAAAAATAGAGGATTTGTGGCTAAATGGGCTTTCAAATGTGGCTGTCTTCTAGCCGTCTCCAACTTAACGTGTCCCAAATTCCTCCAAAACAAAATCTACTCCTGCATGAGAGCGCACTGTCTTGCCAACTCAGCCTATCCCCATGCATCCAGTTACTCAGGGCAAAAACTTAGCAGTGCCCCCCGGAATCCCTCTTTTCTTCCTCATTCTCCACATGTAACTTCTCTGCAAGTCCCGCCAGTTCCGCTTTTCCCCGTCTTCACACATCTTCAATGCCATGATCTTAACCCAAGCCACCATCAGCTGTGATGGTACCATGTTACAGCCTGCAAACTGGTTTCCTTGCTTCCAACCGGCAGCCCAACTGTCTTTTTAAAACATAAATTAATCCAGGGGCGCCTGGGTGGCTCAGCTGGTTGAGCATCCGACTTAGGATTTTGGCTCAGGTCATGACCTCAGGGTGGTGAGATTGAGCCCCACCACAGGCTCCACGCTCAGTGGGGAATCTGCTTGAGATTCTTGCTCTCCCTCTCCCCTCTTTCTCTCTAAATAAAATAAAAAAAATAAATTAATCCATACCACTCCTCTGATTAAAACCCTCGACTGACCTACTGTACTTCGAATAAAGTCTACACTCCTTATCATGGTCACAAGGTCTTACGTAAACTGACCTCTCTAACCTCGTCCCCTCCCGTCCTCCTTGCTCCAGCCACACTGGTCCTCTTTTCGGAAGCCACGCTATTTTCTACCTTTTTACTTACTAGTCCTCTGCTGGATTTCCCCTCCAACCCCCTACTGTTTCATGGCAGGCTCTTTCTTTCTCATAATCTAGGTCTCTAGCTTCTCTGGGAAACGTCTCTAAACTAGATAACCCCCACCCCCACTTCTCGACTACATTCACCCCACTTTGTGGTCTTCACTGCACTAACCATCTGAAGTCCCTGTGTTTTCTTGTCTTCTCACCTACTAAAACAGAAGCTTCCTGAGAGCAAGGACCTTGTTCGTCTTAGTCACCAGTTTACCCAACACTCAGAACAGTGCCTGGCGTATGGTGACACAGTGAGTGTTCCACATGTATTTGTTGGATGACTGTGTATCATCACCATAATAAAACAACTATGGTAGCAATTTACTGCTTTATATCTCTAACCTTCAAAATAACCAGATGTATTAGATATTAGTTAGATCTATGTCACAGTGAAGAAAATGAAGTAGTTTGCAAAAGATCACTCAAATTACCTTGAGTAAACTATTTAACTTTTCTGAGACCAATTTTTTTCCCATTGTAAAATAGCAGAACCAAAATACAAACCTAGGTTTTTTGGGGCTTTAAAATCCCCCTGCTTTTGTCAATCCAGTGATTTTTGCCCCCCTCCACCTTTATGGAAGTATGCTCGACAAACGAGAGTTCTATACATTTATAGCATTACCATGTGATAATTTAATATACATATACATTGTAAAGTGATTACCACTGTTGACTTAATACACTTATCACCTCACATAGTTATCATTTTCCAGTGATTTTTTTTTTTTAAGATTTTATTTCTGAGTAATCTCTATGCCCAACATGGGGCTTGAACTCACAACTCTGGGATCAAGAATCATACGCTTGGGATGCCTGGGTGACTCAGTCGGTTAAGCATCTGCCTTTGGCTCCGGTCATGATCCCGGGGTCCTGGGATCGAGCCCCACCTTGGGTGCCCTGCTCAGCGGGGAGTCTGCTTCTCGCTCTGCCTCTGATTCCCGCTCCCCCGCCCCTGCTCTTGTTCTCTCACTCACTCTCAGATAAATTAATAAAACTTAAAAAAAAAAAAAAGAGTCACACGCTCCACCAATTCAGCCAGCCAGGCACCCCCCCAGCGATTCTTAATGTCCCTCCCAAGCTGATCTTCTGCCACATGAGCCTCTCTTACTGAAGGGAAAATGTCAAGCAGAGTGCAGTGTCTTGCACCATGGCAGTGCTTATAAACTGACCATGGCAAACATTCTCTATTATACAGAGACAAGAGTGATGGAAATTAAAAGGCTTTCTCCCTAGAGTGTCTTACAAAGAAACGAGTAACTTTAATGGACATAGGGCCCATAAGGCCAGGATATCCTAAAAGGTGTCCTTCTTTTGTGTGGGAGACGAGACTATATGCTTTCTAATGTACGTTCAAGCTCAGTTTACACATCTGTCCTGGACCATCCATTTCACTAGTCTAGTCTTCAATAAACAAGCAAATAAATACACGCATTTATTACTTAATGCTTCAAAGACTGAGAATTGAAAGGCACAATGTGATTTGGAAACCGCCCTTGGTGAGCAGTAAAGACAAGAAGTCGCAATACCTCCCATGCCTTAACCACACAAATTTCCTTCCTCCCACATAGTTTTGTGCGGCAGGGAACCATGGTCAACCTGTAACCACCCTCGCGGGGCGCCCACTAGTCAGAAGGTGCTGAACAAAGGTAAGGAAAGAAGATGGCACAGAGCTATGGCGGGTGAACCAAGGCATACAAATGAAAGTTCTATTTTAAAGGGTGAATGCACAGTTTCCTGGCAAACAAGCCTATTTTCAGATAACATCTGCAAAGAAGTCAAAGAGGTTACTTGATTTCCTGTAAACCGGGGAGAATCTGAGCTAGGTACGATGGAACATGAGGATCGTTCATTCAACACACACCTATGGAGATCACAGATTCATGATACTGAACAATAAAACTAAAAGCCTGCTGGAATTTCAAAACAGTAAGTCAGGGTGATTCTTGACAGGAGGATTCACCATAGCTTCCCTTTAAGTTACCCTCTCTCAGGATGCACTTAAAAAATTTTTTTTTAAAGATTTTGTTTATTTATTTGAGAGAGCGCGAGCGAGAGAGCACAAGCAGGGGGAGTAGCAGTGGGAGAGGGAGAAGCACACTTCCCACTGAGCAGGGAGCCCGATGTGGGGCCTAATCTCAGGACCCCGGAATTATGACCTGAGCCAAAGGCAGCAGCTTAACCAACTGAGCCACCAAGGCACCCCATGGATGCATTTAAATATTGATATAACTTACAAACAGCTGTTCCAGGAACAGGTCTAGTGTATACATGACAGTACATCTGTTTTCAGAGGCTGCAAACCAAAAATTTCTTTCCAGCAGCTTCTATCTTAAACTCTTCCTCAGAGTTATTCTAAAAATTTCTAAGCTATCATTGAAAAGTGCCTCATCCTGTCC